TGTGCAATTTTTCAGCCAATATCTATTTTGGAAGATCCTGTATATTTGTAAATTTTCATTGTTTTATGTTTTTCTCCCAGTACGTAGATAATTAATTAATTGATTTGTATTAATATTTTTATAGCCCCAAGAGCTTTCCGATACAAAGAGTTCAAGTCAGCCACAAAAGACATTTGACACTGTTTACGGATCATTTGACACTGTTTACTAAGCCTTTTTCATAGAATCAGNCGATACAAAGAGCTCAAGTCAGCCACAAAAGACATTTGACACTGTTTACGGATCATTTGACACTGTTTACTAAGCCTTTTTCATAGAATCAGGAACTGTTACTGCAGTGAAAAGATCAAAGCATTCTCATGAATGTAAAACTGAATTCTTAGATGAATTGTCCAATATTTCTTGTTTGAGGCACAAATATGTCTAAATTGGGTAACCCATTGAAATGGTCATACAGAGACCACATTGGAATTGGTTTGGCCTCTATTTTGATTTACCTCCATTAAGAATGTGAACAACAATTAATACACCGAGACAAAAAGGCCATTAACATTATACTTGATTCAGTAACAGATATTCAAGACAGTTACAACACAAATAAGATACAGTTATTCAACAGTTAATCAATAAAGTTACCCATAACAAATAAAAAAATTGAATCCTTAAAATCATAAAAATAGTTACGAAACACAGTTAAACCCATTAAATTTTGAATGTGAATTGTCTATATTTGAATCATAAATAGTTACTTAAAACAGTTACGTAACTATTTTTAATCAAAAAAATCATGAACCATAAAGTTGTCAATAATAGACTTATAAGAATTGAATCCTTAAAATCAGAAGAATAGTTACGCAACACAGTTAAACCCAATAAAATTTTAAATATGAACTGTCTATATTTGAATCTCAAATAGTTAATTAAAACAGTTACGTNTAAAATTTTAAATATGAACCGTCTATATTTGAATCTCAAATAGTTAATTAAAACAGTTACGTAACTATTTTTAATCAAAAAAATCATGAACCTAAAAGTTGCCAATAACAGACTTATAAGAATTGAATCCTTAAAATCAGAAGAATAGTTACGCAACACAGTTAAACCCATTAAATTTTGAATAAAAAAAAGTCTATATTTGAATCCCAAATAATTATTTAAAATAGTTATGTAACTATTTTTAATCAAAAAAATCATGTTCCAAATTGTTTTTTTTCATATAAAGATGTTATAATATATTTGCAAATTCTTAATATAATTTTACAAAATTAGGGTTTTATGATTTGGTTTTATTTTTGAATCAACTTACACAGGTTTTTGAAAAAAAAAACTAAATAATTAATGAATGAAAAAAAAATAGAATGTCACATCAAATTTTCGGTGAAGAAGTTGCCGGAGATGCTGAACAGGTTCTGCACGATATCGACGACGATGAACAGGCGAATTTTGGAACTATCGTAGTACTCCTTTTTTGTGGGATATTCAATGGTTAAAATAGAAATAATAAACAGTTATGTCATTCTATGGATATCCCATTGCCATGGAATCAGAATGCCGAAAAAATCAGGATGCCGAAGAATAAGGGTTTTGANGCAAGTATTTATATAATATTTTTTATATCTAATGCAATATATCACTTGAACAGAATTATTCGAATGCCCAATTGAAAAAATATTTTTGGTCATATTTAGATTCTTAAGGGATATAGGTGTAATATTTTAAATGTGAGGGGTCTNAATTGTTTACCAAATGATAATACTGGTATTTTTAAAAAATATACACTTTACTTCAAAGAAGTGTAAAAATTGTATCAAATTTTAAATTCCCAAAAAAAAAAAAAAAGGCTTCTGTAGGCCCAGTACCGGTAAAGATACAAATATTTATGCNATATAATTTATCCATTTAGATTTATAAGGAAAACAAACTCTAAGGCAAACTAACTGTTTTTAGTTTCAGGTGCGCATTTATACAAATTTTTATTTTTTAGGGACAAATTGAGATTTTTTTATCTTTGAGGGTATAAATCATGGATATTAAAATCACAATCAATATAAATTTCTATTTTTGAGGGACAAATTGAGATTTTTTTATCATTGAGGGTATAAATCATGGATATTAAAATCCCAATCTGACTCCTACAGTCCTACGATCTAAATTTAACAAATCAATCCAGATCGTATACAAAATTATTGGTTAGTGGAATCGATATGGATCGAGATTCGGATGCTTCAAAATCGTAGGATCCTGGTCCCAAATATGATCCTACTCTTGGAAAGCCGCACAAGCTTTTTTTTTTTACTCATTTTGAAGAAGAATGTGATATCTCTGTTTTTTCTCTTTAATGTTTAATGTTTATCTGTTACAACCTTAAATTATAAATTTTTTTGTATTTGCCTCTTCTTTGGTTTATAACAATGTTATAACATTAATGTGAAAGGTCTACCTTTGGAGCTACGTTCTCAATTTTATTTGAATTAGCTTGTGGTACGCATATTAAATACATGTCTATCATCATATATTTACATTAAGTACAGAGACAAGGTTTGATTCATTGAAATCTTTGTTGTTGATTGTATTAATTTTTAGTTCTATTTTCTTTAATAAGTAGGATCTTACGATTCTCGATCCAATCCTAGAACTACCCCCATCGATCCAAGGTAGGATCTTGATTTTAAAAACCTTGAAACAAATTGAGATTCAAACGATCTTTTGAGGTGCAATTTATAATTAGCCCTAAAAAATAATCACGAGAAATGCACAACTCAAAAAAAAGGGTTAATCGCAAATTATATCACGAAAGATTGTTTAAATCTCAATTTGTATCTTCAAAGATCAAAAATTTCAATTTTGCACCTAAGGCTAATAGCTGTCATTTTACTGTCAAAAATTAAATAGATAAATTATACATTTTACTGTCAAAAATTAAATAGATAAATTATACCTAAACCTCCTCATACTTGTAACTTAATTACCTAGATCTTTCACATTTTAAATATTATACCTACATCTCATGGGAATCTAAATATGACTAAAAATGTTATCTAATTGGGCATCAAAATAATTCTATTGAANTGTTTGAATCTCAATTTGTATCCTCAAAAATTAAAAATCTCAATTTACACTCTAAAAAATATAAATTTGTATCAATATGCATCTGAAACTAACAGCCGTCAATTTGCTAACTAAAACAAGTCAAGTAAATTACACCTTGACCNAAGTGATATATTGTATTTGATATAAAAAATATTATATAAATACTTGTATTATATTGGTCATTCAAATGTTAAACTTGATTTTGAATTTTAGAGTATAACGAACACATAAAATAAAAGGTAGTATGAAAATTATAATTTTTTATTATGATAAAATCATGATTTTTTATAGTTATATTAACAAATATCAGTTAACACAAGTTAGAAGGTGTAAGAGTAATATTCTTAATGTGAGGGGTTCAAATGATTAAGTGACAAACTTGAGGAATCTAGGTGTAACTTACCTAACTAATTTTAAATGGCAAACTGACGGCTATTAATTTCAATTGCGCCTTGATACAAATTTGTATCTTTGATAGTGCAAATTAATATTTTTGATAGCCGGAGGTATAAATTGAAATTCTAATGATCTTTTGGAGTATAATTTGTGATTAACCNATGAGAAATCTAGGTGTAACTTACCTAACTAATTTTAAATGGCAAACTGACGGCTATTAGTTTCAATTGCGCCTTGATACAAATTTGTATCTTTGATAGTGCAAATTAATATTTTTGATCGCCGGAGGTATAAATTGAAATTCTAATGATCTTTTGGAGTATAATTTGTGATTAACCAAAAAAAATATCACGACAAACGTACAAACCTTAAAAAAAGAACATGTGAAACGCATTACTAATTAGGTAAGACAAAAACCAATTTAATTAAGGTTCATTTGCGCTTTTCATATTACACCCACCAATTCAGAACCCCCTGCTTAACTCTCCCATCAACCAACCCAANTCACGACAAACGTACAAACCTTAAAAAAAGAACATGTGAAACGCATTACTAATTAGGTATGACAAAAACCAATTTAATTAAGGTTCATTTGCGCTTTTCATATTACACCCACCAATTCAGAACCCCCTGCTTAACTCTCCCATCAACCAACCCAATACACCAGAAACTGTCAAACATCCACAAATTTCTCTCTCCTAAAACCAGAAAACACATGGCTTCCCTTTCATCTTCAATGAAGTCAAACTTAAGCACAAGTTCAAGCTTTGATGAGCACCAATGGGTCATTCAAATACGCCTAGCCCTCGATGAAGAGCTTGAAGAAAATACCCATGAAATCCCAGTCAGCATCTTCAATGTCCCAAGGCCCCTAATGGCTAGCAACCCAGATTCTTACACCCCACAAGAAGTTGCATTAGGCCCTTACCATTATTGGCGTCCCGAGCTTTATGAAATGCAGAGATATAAGATCGCAGCAGCACGGAGAACTCAGAAACAGCTTCAAAACCTCAAGTTTCAACATGTTGTTGAAAAGCTGATGAAGTATGGGCCTAGGATTCGAGCTTATTACCACAGGTACCTCGATTTCAATGGCGAAACATTGGCTTGGATGATGGCTGTTGATGCTTCGTTCTTGCTTGAGTTCCTTCAAATCTTTCCGTTCAAACAAGGTAAGGAACCAACTAGAGTCTCATCAAGAATGTCACATTTGGTTGATGTTGCAGGAAGAAAGTCTGCACATAATGCTATTCTCAGAGATATAGTGATGCTAGAGAATCAAATTCCATTATTTCTACTGAGAAAGATGTTAGAAATTCAATTTTCATCAATGGAATTAGCAAACAACATGCTGGTTTCAATGTTAATGGGTTTATGTGAAGAGCTTTCTCCATTGAAATTCATGGAAGAAGAACACCCAAATCTTCAAATTTCAAAGCGTGCTCATTTGCTTNAACAACATGCTGGTTTCAATGTTAATGGGTTTATGTGAAGAGCTTTCTCCATTCAAATTCATGGAAGAAGAACACCCAAATCTTCAAATTTCAAAGCGTGCTCATTTGCTTGATGTTTTGTACCATGTATTCATGCCGGAATTCGAGGAACCAACAGAAATAACTGAAGCCGAGGAAGAGAGAGGAAAGGAAGGTGAAGGTGAAGGAGACTCTTTGGGGGAGTCAAGTCACATTAAATAATGCTTTGGTGAGGTTTGGAAGTTTATTTCCAAATTAGATCACGGCGCACTACGTTCCATCAAGAGATTATTATTTGCAAGACCTATTAAAGTCATATTAAAACTACCATGGACAATTGTTTCTAAGCTTCCTGTATTCAAAGTCTTGAAACAAGGTTCTGAATACTTCTGCTTCCCCCATGATAAAGAAAACGTTAAGCCAGAAAATGAGAATTCTAGTGACAAACCCCCGTTGGTTGAGGAGATTTCAANATTCAAAGTCTTGAAACAAGGTTCTGAATACTTCTGCTTCCCCCATGATAAAGAAAACATTAAGCCAGAAAATGAGAATTCTAGTGACAAACCCCCGTTGGTTGAGGAGATTTCAATCCCTTCTGTCACAAAACTCTCCGAAGTTGGTGTGAAATTTTCATCCACTAATGGTGGCACTTTAAATTTTGGATTTGATTGTAAAACTNAATCCCTTCTGTCACAAAACTCTCCGAAGTTGGTGTGAAATTTTCATCCACTAATGGTGGCACTTTAAATTTTGGATTTGATTGTAAAACTGTTACATTATACCTACCCACCATTAGTTTAGATGTAAACACAGAAGTGACCTTAAGGAACTTGGTTGCTTACGAATCCTGCAATGCATCTGGGCCCTTGGTTTTGACTCGTTACACAGAATTAATGAATGGGATTATTGATACGGCTGAGGATGCCAAGTTGCTGAGAGAGAGAGGGATTATAGTGAACCGATTGAAGAATGATAAAGATGTGGCTAACATGTGGAATGGGATGAGTAGGTCTGTGAAGTTGACAAAAGTGCCCTTCTTGGACAAAGTGATCCAAGATGTGAACAAGTATTATGACAGTAGATGGAAGGTTAAAGCTGGGAAATTCATAAAGGCGTATATTTTTAGGTCATGGCAGTTTCTCTCATTGCTTGCTGCTATTCTGTTACTGTTGTTGGTGATTTTCCAAACGTTTTGCTCAGTTTATAGCTGTTCTCGAATCATTCATGTCCCAAATCTTCAGTGATTTCGTATGCTGTCTCAAGCCTCAACCATGAACGACGGTTTCTTGAATAATCATCTAAAGCTTTTCAATGGAACAATGCTTCATTACATGTTCATCCGTGTGTGTTTTTCCCCTTGGTGTTTGTGGGGTGGTTTTTTTTATTTTTTTATTTTGGGGGAATCAAAGAAATGTTCATGGAGCTTTTCCCTCTCTTCAATTATTGATGTCGAATTTGATTTGATTGGCATATACCACCAAAGTAGTTGGAATGTGATTCTAATTTAGGATGATTGCTTTGAAAGTCTAATATTATATGATAAAATGATGGAATTTAAGACTCGGAGTATATACAAACTCGAGGATAAGTTCAACTTTTAAAAATTTTAAATAAATTTTTTAGATATCAATAATAGTGTCGGTAGTTGTAATATTATATGCTTATAGAGAGCTACAATAATTTAAAATGAATCATTTAACTACTATTTGAATAAGTAGAATTTCTCACAAGCAAAATCATACATGGCATCCGCTACAATTGATGAGTTGTATCAGATTGCATGGTTTGCGAATACAATTTTTGGGTACAAAATAAAAGTTGGTCAAAGTTAAAGAGTATAAGTTGCTTAAACTAATGTATCAACTTGAAAAAAGTGACAAATACTAAGAATTATGATGTAGAGAGAGACAATAATAAAAAAGCGTTTGGCCAGCGTTTTATTACTGGCATTTGGGGGAAATGCCAAGAATTAGCGATATTTCTGGCTTTTTTTAAAAAAACGCCGGTACAAGATTTTTTGGCAAATTTTAACACCACCCCCTAATTCCTCACTTTCCCCCTTTTCTCTCTGAACACTTCTTGGCCACTCTCTCTTGCCTGTCACTTAGGTGGTGTCCGATAAAACTAAAAGTTGAATATTAAAAACTGAATGTTAAATTTTTAAATGTTGAATATTGAATGATGAATTCATGAACTATTTAGTATTCACTGAAATTTAAAAAGTGGATTGAATTAAACTATTTGATAACTACACAGAGCTGACATTTGAAAATAAATTAATTTTTAGTTTTACCATTCAACTCTTTATTTTGAAAATATTTATGAAATATGTTTTCATCTAATAAAAACTACGATATATCAAATCAGTTTAATTAAACAAAATGTGAATTATGTGTGTGCAAAGTGTGTGAATTATGTTAAATTAAACAAAATTAATAATAAAATTAATTTAAGTTAAACTAATAGCGTGTGTATTTGTGTGCAAAGTGTGTGAATTATGTGTGTGTAATAATGTATATATGTATGTTTGCAATGAAGACGACAAGGGAAGAAGGACTTACCTGAAGAAGTGAAGGAACGGTGAGGTAGATTGAGGATTTTGGAGAGAAGACTTAGAGTTTTAATAAGATTGTGAAATATTTCAGAGTAGAATTGTCATGCTATAAATATTATTAAATATGCTTTTGCTTAACACTTTTAGTTTTCAAAATTAAAAGGTCTACTACTTAATATTTTAGCCTATTTTTAAAGAGTACTTAATACATTAAGATATTCAAATTGAAGTTATCTAACGAGCTTAATTAATAATGATGAATATATTTAGTTTAAGTGCTGAATTTGGGTTAACAAACACATTCTTACTCAATCGATTGAGATTGTTATCAAGACAATTCACAAATTGATAGAGATTCACCCTTCTCTCTCTGTCTCTCTGTCTCTCTCACACACACAGTATTTTCTCAAAACATGCTAAGGCTTTTTCAGTGTTTTTACTTCAAACATCATCAATCGAGATCGGAGGAGGTTGAACCACTACCTTGAAGCATCATCTGATGCTGCTTGCAATCGAGATCGGAGGCGAGAGCTGCAAAGTTGAACTCAGAGAGAAACCGTCCCTGGAGTACTGTTCATGCAATGTAATGCACTATGCTCAGCTTCGACTCTTGTAATAAAGGATGGAGTAATGGTACGTACCAGTGTTTCCTAAGCTTTACAAGTTGGAGATTATGGAGTGTTCCCAATATTTTAAATTTCCATTGTATTACGAACATATCCAATAATTTTGTTCATTTAGTGATTTTTCACCATTTAAAGTCGGTATCAACTAAATGTTTTTTTTTTTTAAATTGAATAACGGTAATGACTGTTGTAATAGTAACTGATGATGTGTATAACACGATAGAACAAAATTTGGGGATCACTGAATGACTCAGTCTGAACTCCTAGGCTTTTGAGAATTGAATTATGGAGAAAGGGGTTTACGACACAAGAAACTTACAGTGATTCACCAACTTAAGAGCTCGGTTAATTCACTTTTAAGGGAGTCTCTTGCTTTTGGGATTTATATTAATAAAGAGGGGGAATTATACATGATATTTGCTTCTGATACAATTGCTTATATTTTTCTTGAGAGGGGTTATGCCTCTTATCCTCTTATTTATAGTTGGCCTAAGGACTCGCCTGATCCATGGCGTGATTCTTGTCTTTCTCTTGTAACGGTTACACCTATCTTACAACGACGGAGGTGGCTGTTGAGGCAGTTGTGACTTCTTTGTTTGGATATGTGACCGTTACGATTTGCACGGTACTTGGGCGGAAGACAATCGTCATCTGTGCCATATAGGCAGAGCTGCAGTTGTTAGAGAAGAGGTGCCGACCTCGAGCTTCCTAGTCATCAAGGGTGGGCTGAGTGCTCGATCTGGGGAAGTCTGAGCTGATTACCCGAGCTCAACATTAGGCATATTTTGGGTATCATCAATAAAAATAATGGTGTAATGAACGCGGAGTGAAACGAACGTTACACAACAATAACAAAAATCGGAGATGTAAAATTTTTTTTCTTTGACTCACAATACCTAGAAAACATGAATATTTATAAGTTTCAATTCTAAAATAATGCAAATATGAGTGTTTATCGATTTTCAGTGTATTTTATTGTACATAAACATGTTAATGAAATATTAAAAATATGTCTTGATGATGCGCATAATGATTCCCGAGCAGGAGCTCGAGAACGAAGGTCAAACATGGAGGTCAGATATGCTGAGCTCAAAAAGTCAGAGGTATGTAGAGCTCAAAAAATCAGAGCTAGAGCTCCCCTCAAGCGAGATAATAAACTGAAGAAATGAGAAAGCAACTGGATACTACAAAGAACTAGACAGGCGGTTTGAAGTAACACTAAAGACACAAAATCCTCAACCAACCAAGATACTCTCCTAAGATAAAGGAAAATTCCTCGGATAGATGGCGAGGATCTCAGATCAGATCCCATAGATTAAGGGATACCCCTATAAATACTATGTAATGACCCCAACAGAGAGACAGAACCCTAGTATCACATCTTACATTCTGTAAATCTTTTGGTATAGTAAATAGTGAAGGAAGGAGCAAGAATCTTCATTGAAGAGTGGATTAGCCGAGTTCCTGAACTGGTGAACTACTATATTTCTACTGTGTTAATTCCCCAACTCCCCAACAATTCTCAGTATCATTTCCTCGAATTTAGTAGCTCAGATCCTAATAATTCAAATATTATTTCTTTCATTAACTCGTTATCGCAAAATTGCATTACGTTGAAATACACTATCAGTTTGGCGCCGTCTGTGAGAAAAAATGGTCCTATTATAAACAAATTGATCTTTCAGTGACTGATGATATCAACACGAAACATGAACCGAAGTCAAACAAATCCGCCACAAGCGCAAGATCAACAAGAAGTTGCCAATAGCAGACAACCCGAGAGCGTCCAGGAGACCAATCTCTCAGTGGGGGGTCTCCTCATGAATAACGAGATGGAGGCTCTTCGCCTCTCCAATCAATTTTTGCTGAAATAAAACGAAGAAATTTTAAAGCTTTTACAATGCCCACAGGAGGCACGACAGGCTCAAGAAGGCCAGAACAACCTCCCACCTAGGGAGCAACCACACCTCGACTCCCTCAGAGAAGTTAACGAAAAAAGGGAAAACAGCCAAATCATGGGGCCAGAACCTCGCACCCCCCCAGGAATGGCCATAACGACGAAGGACAGAGTCAAAACGAAGAAGGTGAGAGAAATGATTTTTCCCCTATCAACAGGAAAGGAGAGAACATTACTGGCAGCAGCACTTCCAGGGTATCCAACAAGAGCTCACCCACATGAAAGAAGTCGTGAGAGGCAGGGCTCCAGTTACCATGGATGCCTTAGTACAACAGACTGAATCCCCGTTCACCAGTAGGGTGCTGCATTTTCCCCTCCTTATGAAATTTAGAATACCGCAAATAGACGCTTTCGATGGAACAAAGGATCCCGTAGATCACCTCAACACCTACAAGAACCAGATGGAGTTACATGGATACTAGGATCCAGTGCGCCGCAGAGCTTTTGCCATCACGTTAAAGGGCTCAACCCTAGCATGGTTCAATAGGCTCCCCCCAGCCTCGATATCCTCTTTTAAGGAGCTATCCATATCCTTTGTGTCTCACTTTATAGGAGCTTGAATGTACAAAAAGTCGAGTTACCACTTGCTAAATGTGAAACAGGGACCCCACGAGAACCTCAGATCCTATGTTCAGAGGTTCAACTCGGAATCGCTAAAAGTGGACGTCCTAGACGAGAAATTTGTCATTACTGCATTTATAGCTGGCTTGGGTGTCCAATCTAAAGACCTGATGTTCTCCATCTTGAAAAATCCTCAGGCCAGCATGGCCGAAGTACTGGTCAAGGCAGAAAAATACATAAACGGCGAAGAAGCTCTACTCTCAAAAGTGGGGAGCTCATCAGCAAATATCATATTTGCTTTCGCATTTGACAAAATGAGCATAAGAAGGGAAAAACTGGAGCCCGTGAATGCTTACCTATTGGGATTTGCGGGAGAACGGGTGTTGCCATTGGGCTCAATTCAGCTTGTGCTCACTATGGGAGACCCCCTGCTAGGTAACCACTACAATAAGATTCCTAGTGGTTGATGCCCCCTTTGTATACAACATGCTGCTCGGGAGACCTTCTCTCAATGCAATGAAGGATATCCCCTCGGCCTATCATCTG